GATTTAAATACCGGGTATACATATCATTCAGTGGGATCGGGTTGTATACAGGTTCAACTCAGCCAACCTTATGTGCTTAGTTCAATGAGGTAATTGTTTACATGACATTTAACTTTTTCTCTAGTTTCTATTATTTAATAAATATATTATTTGTGCCTGAAATACAACTCTTTAATATTTAAAAAAAATAGTTTTAACTCAACTTTAGAAATAAGATAAGATTGCTATTGTGATTATTTATAGGATGCTGCTTTGGGACTGCGATAGGCGAACCTACGGTTACACTGTTGAAGTTTCGCTCGATAATTTGGTTTGGGATATGGTTGTAGACAAATCTAATAAGTCGGCACGATCGTGGCAATCGTTTCAATTTGATGCCAGGCCGATAGTGTACATTCGTATTACTGGCATACACACTTCAAAAAATGACGGAGTAAAATAATTAATCTAATAACGTTATATTGAACTGTTAAAATTCGTTTTTTTCTTTTAGATTTTTAGATGTGTACATTTGGAGGCACCCGCTCAAATATCGCTAGATTCAAAAGTCACTCTAAAACGTCAGCGATCGATATTCCGGCGTTTCGGCTGTAAATAGCTTTACCATTTACTTTTTGAACGATTCCAAAGTTACGCCAAAACAGCATCGGTCGTTATTCCGGTTTTTCGGCCGTAAATAGCGCCACCATTGACCCGACTTCTATATGGAACTAATAGGGGTTTTTTTTACATAATATTATATGTTGCTGTAATTTTTTTTGTATCATAAATAAATATATTTATGTATCACATTCAGTCTAATGTTCACACATAACTATAGATTACATATGTTTTTTTTTTTAAATATACCAGTATTAGTAAAATCTTAAAAATTAAGGATAGCCCAAATACGTGTATACTACAGATAATTATTGTAAGAAACTCTAATGTAAAAACTTCACATAGGAAAGATATTCGAGAGGTTAGACTTGATATAGAAGATAATATCATAACAGTTCTAGAAAAAAATAAAGCGGTACCCATAACATAAAAAGTTAAAAAATATGAATATTTTTAGGGTGTTTTTCTCGATTTTGCAGGCGAAGGGGGGTCTAAAGTTTTAAATTAACAGAGTACCTTACATGTACGATTTCTGGACAAATTAATGGTATTGACATAACACATTGATCACTAATTATATAATCTATATGATTGTGTGTACAGTTATGTAATTTGTACTCTAAAGAGACAATACTTAACCCTTAATTTTGCGGTTTATCCGTTTATTTTTTAAATATTAACATATTTCATCTGTCTAAAGTTTTAGAACAATATAACATAAAATAAATTAATTATGCATATGAGGTAAACACATTTTTGACCTTTGCTATTATCACTTTTCTGAATAATAAATTAATAAATATTCAAATGTATTAATAACAAATACATACTTTACTTTTCGCAATTAAAAAGTTGCTATCATAAAAACTAAGTAGGCAAGGGGGTAAAAACAAAAACAAAAATTGTGAAAAATTGAGGTCTCATGATATAAATACATTAAGAAAATTTATTTAATGTCTTATTTAATCTTATAAGATAGTGAAATTGCAGTTGTAGATACATAACTACATTTCACCAGCGGCTAGATAATGAGCGAAAACAAAAATTGACGTTAATGAGTGCCTATAGGAATTTTTGAAACAGTAAGTACATAGTCGATCAGAAAACGGGAAAGGCGCGAAAAATGACAAATGAATGAATACATTACAAAATGACCATCGTATATTAACATGTTGTTTTAAACACTATGGTAAACAGAAAAATCAAAAAAGCACTATTACACAACAAACCTAGTCAGTTTTAATAAATTTCAAACAAGTTAAGAACAAAATTAATTACCTGTGAACATAAATAAATACCATGCCAATTTTTCTGCTAAAGTATTAAGTTCTAATATGTTTGATATACTTTCTCCCACCTGTATATTATAACTAGAGAGCGGATTTTTAGGTTTTTACACATATTTATAGGCTTTATACAGCTCTATGGGGTTGAACAACTTGGACAGCACATCAGATTAACTTCTAATAGATATTATTATTTTGCATATTAGAGCATATTTGGGAGGTTAGAGAATATATTCAAGTTTGAACATGTTTATAATTCATTTTACCAGTGTTAATAAAATAATATACCATTTTTTTTAGTGCATATAATGATGTTATCGGTGTAATAATATTCTTGTCATTGACAAAAGCACCGCCATTAGTATCGTCATCCTAAGTTCAGTCATGGTTATATACTAGACAATTTTGGATATAAAAACAATACTTTTACTAGCATTTAATTTTTTTTCGAGGTATTAATATTTTAATACATGTTGTACATGGTGATTGGTCAACTATGACTTTCTCAAATTCTTCTGAGATGTTGGACCTTTTTTTTTACAGTTTTTAGTTAATCTAAAATTAATATATTTATTTTTGACAAAATATATCAAAATTGGGTGGACTAAATACTATAAAATTATAAAAAAGAATAATAAGTTTCTTTCTGTACAGCCAAAATCACCTTGTACTAGAGACTATACTGTATTGTTTTCGTCAAATGCGGACGAATAAAACAGCTTTTCAAACATGACATTGAACAAATAAAGCCCCTTAGTTCGTGTATTGTATACATCGGTTATAAGAATACATGTAATACAATATCATTGAAGTTTGTTGCGATTTAACATAAATCACGGCATAGCGTTTGAAAAACTATATTATATGTATTTTCTTTTTGGCCGCCGAAATATGTGTTATCATTAGTTTTACACAAAATCTTGCAATTCGGCAAAACATTTTAATAATTTCTAATTATTTGTTTGGCTAGAAATCTTTTATCTTATAAAAATTACTTCTTGTTAATTTCCCAAATGATTTAATACCGTTAGTACCAACTTTTTTATCGGCGCTGCAGTTTGTTTATAACTGAAAACTAAAATAAATAAACGTATTCACATTATCAACACACAAAAATAAAGCGATGAATTTCGACGAAATTTGGGTGGATTTAGACAAAATAAGAATTAACACACTTTGTATAGTAATAATAAATAAGTAATATTTCATTAAGACTTATATAATAAAGTAATAATTAAAGATTGATAAAAATATAAATTACACAGATAGAATGATTAATTCGACTTAATATAATATATCATTAGTTACAAGAAAAAAGTGTGAAAAATGTGTAACTATGACACCCCCAACATCCTTTGATATAAGGCATACATAGCTTCAACTATTTATCAATTATAGATTCTGAAAATTAAAAATTAAGCGTTTATAAGATGTATCAAACAGAATTTTTTCAAATTCAAATCGTTATACCGCAGGAATGTGAAATCCGATCTCACTGTTTATTATCTTAATAAATGTGTAAAAAATCTCCTCGCTGTTAAAGTGTGTAGCATTTTTTGCCGTACGGAAAAATCCTCAAATTTACATAATAATTAATACCCATTTTCCACACCCCTCCTCCAGTCTACATTATCTGATTATCGATTTTTTATACAACTAGCTTAAACTAAATAAGTACGGTCTAACCAAGTAAGGTACAAGCCCGCATAGAAAGATTTTACCAAAATCAAGTCCAGTATCTACACATGCGTAAATCAATTTTTTTTAAATTCGTTTGAATAAAAATGTATTTAAAATTGTTATTTTGATATTTGATCAAATTAAAATATTGTTACAAATAGTTTAAAAAGCGCTGAAATACAAACGGTGATGATAACTTAAGTATTTCAGTGAGGACAATAGACATTCGATAAACAGAAGGACTGGGTTCAATTCCCGTCCTGGTAAATATTTTTCTTCTTTTCTGTATTTCTAGCATTTTAATTTTGAGTTTAAATTTAATTATTTTAAATTATTTTTATTTTTGAATTACGCGATACAAAGTAAATAAGTTTATTAAGTGATAAACAATAAACAAAAATTAGGGAAATTATATTGACATTTTCATGTCTTAGCTCTGGCACATAACCGAAAATAGCGTAACGGAAAAAGTATCCACGAAAAAAGCGTTACCACACGAAGATGGGGTTGGGGGTGAGAATGTCTTAGCGCTTGCACATAGCTGAAAAAAGCGTAACGAAAAAAGTGTTACCACACGGAGATGGGGATGGGGATAGGAGATAAGGGTGGGGAATAGTGGGTAGGAGATAGAGGGTAGAAAATAAGGGTGTGCAGTAGGGGATGGGAGATAGAGGGTGAGAGATAAGGGTATGAGATAGGGGTAGGAAATAACGGTAGGAGTTAGGGGTGAGAGTTGGTAGGAGATAGGGGTAAGATATAGGGGATAAGAGAATGTTGTACGTTCAAAGTTCAAATTAGAACTATATGATAAATTCAAAATAGTTTAAGGGCCCCAATTCTCTATGAATTGTTTTAAGCCAAATATTAAACACTATAATATTAGACAGAAACTTGATGTTTTAATATACTAGCTTGTTACTGCTTCTTAATATACTGTATCATTATCTATAATTCCACCACTGCTCTAAATTTATTCGGTATTTCAACGAGATAGGAAAATGCTCTTTCGTGGTTGCAGACTCGGCTGAAAAACTTTTTTTCTAGAAATTATAGCCAGTAAAAGTTCTAAATTAAAAACTCGTATGGTTTTCTTCAAATTTTAACGGCGAAGAAGTAAACTTTTTCAACTTCCCCCCCCCCACCCCCAAAGTACCAACTAGATTAAATTTGTGATTTATAGAGTGGCTACTCGAAGGGATTGGTCCAGTATTAAAAAAGTTATAGTGTATACAGATAAAAAACAAGCCCACATCATAGTAAAACCAATACCTTCACTGCTTTGCATCAAAGCTAAGAATTTCTCTTAAAGAAAAAAAAACATAATTCACCTTATTTGGCCCCCGTTTCATTGACTTTCTGAAAACCAAAATACCCGCACGACCATATTCAACGACGAGTCGCACAAAAAACGTATACCAGTTGAGTACACAACTATTCGCTTAGAAATTCTGCCTTTGCAAAACAATTGTGTGCTATTAAAATAAAATAAAATATTTAGGCCGGTTTTCAACACCTATGAACGTATATTATTTTTCTATGCGTTTTATATAGTTTTTCCAAGTCGTTATAACACGTATAACACAATGCTGTTTATTTGTTTTATTGCTTTCATTGTTTTAAGTTCAACTCCAGGTACGTAATATATTTCATACACGCCTACATAAATTGTCTTCTTACAATTTAAGCTTATAATCCTAAGCAATAGGTTATGATCACAATTATGGAAATATCGTTATCTACGGTATTTTGCTAGTCGCTCACTAAGAGATGACCAGTCAAGTTTTTAATTTTCTATCACAAACCTCCTTACTGACTAGTTATACTGTCTAAGATAAGCTTTAGAAATCTCTGGTGGAGGCTAATATGATCATTTTTAACAAGTTTTCTGAAGATTAGCTTATGCTTTATCCTTCATTTTATACTGAACGCTATTATATTTATATCTCGCAATAAAACTATTACTATTAATTAATTAAAATACACTATTTAAAAATAAAAAGTGTGAAATCAGATAACTGAACGCTACTTTATATCATAAATAAATTATACATATTTGTTTACAATTTCAGTTTTATTTTTTAGCATTTTCTGATCCTTCCGATATTGCATCGTCTTCGTCCAATCCGCCCGTTTACGAGCAAATCAATCACCCTCAGTTCTTGATCACCGACATTAGCAACCTATATCTAGACGAAAGGTTTGTATTATATTCCTACTTTTTATAATAAATATAATATATATACTGTGTTTCATCTACAGATAGATTCTCTGTAAATTATTGGAAATATAAAACTAACTCTTCATCAATGTTTTCCTTATCGACACCAAGCAATGGATCTCTAGACAATGTGTCTGCTAATACTTTCTAACAAATATAGTTTTCAACTTTTAAGTCCTAAGATTTATTATGAATATTGATAATAATAATAATAATAATAATAATAATAATATAATAATAATAATAATAATAATATAATATTTATGAATTGTTAACACCATTCTTTGTACTCATGATTAGTTTGAACTTTGACAGTTTGTTCATTGAGATATTGATGAAATCACTGACACCGGTGCTAGTTTTGAACTTTTTTTTCAAAAGAATAATTGTGTAGCTATTTATTTATTTATTTAATGACATTTTTATGTCTTAGCTCTGGCACATAACCGAAAAAAGCGTTACCACACGGTGATGGGGTTGGGGTGAAAGATAGGGGTGGGAGATAAGGGATAGGATATAGGGGTAGAAGATGGGGGTGAGAGATATGTTGTATTTACAACTATCATATTATAACTGAAAAATAAATTCAATGTAATTTAACAGGTTATATTTCCTATGAATAGTTGAAGGCCAGATATTATGAAATCACTAAAATATAAGGCAGAAACTTGATATGTGTACTAGCCACCTTAGATACTAGCTTGTTAATATACTATTTCATTTTCTATAAATCCATCACTACTCTAAATTTATTCGGTACTTCAACGAGACATAAAAATTCTCTTTTTAAACTTTTTAATTATTTATCAAAGATCCATCCAGTGTTGAGGAGATCACGATTTCAATTTTTTTTAAAGAAACTATTTGAATTGCATTATTTTTGATGCAATATTCGACTTTATATTAAAGTCAATAAAAACTTTATTTTATTTTTCATAACTTCCTAATAAAAACCGGTAAACTAAAAATATTAGACAAAAAAATCGTAGATTCACAGTTACAAACATTTAAATTTTAAAAAATACATTTAATGAAACTATTTAATATGTTTTAAGGGAATAAGTCCATTAGTTGATGTAATGCAATTAATGGTAAATAATATAGACACAATTAACAAATACTTATACATTTATTTAAACAAAATATTAAACAATTACATCAGTTATTCCTCCAAAATATGTGAATATTTCGTACACAATTATAAATAATTAGGAGCTTTGTTAAGTAGATACTTTCGGTGCAACACCAACATACATGTTTTAAGTTTATACAACAAAAGTTTACAATAATAAATTTACAATATAATAATAATGTGTTAATGGTGAACAGCGTACCTACTACATGAATTTTCCAAAAAATACTGCTATTTTTTTTCTTCGACAAATGCGTCTGCCTCAGGAAAAATGTTTTTCTCTTTGACAATTCGTAGCTTTTATAACCCTACAAAAATTGATGTGTAACAATAAACTCGTGATTTTACCGACACATTAAGTGTCTAAACGTCATAATACACTTAAACCACTGTCGATGAATCGGCGTTGCCAATGGCTGCTGTGAGGTTACGAATAACAGTACAACAGCCGGTGACGGTAGATCTTTAGCCGGCAAAGACGTTATCCAGGGTACATTGCGTGATACTGAAGCATGTGACTGTGGACACGAATTACAGATGACTAGTCACATCATTAACGAATGCCCACTGCGAGCATTCACCGGTACCATACATGATATTTATCAAGTGAGAAAAAAGGCAGTGATGTGGATGGAGAATAGGTTGTATGTTATAATATAATTACAATTGACAAAATAATCAACTTTTTAAACCATATCTAACTATTTGTATTTATATTAGCTAGTAAGATAAAAATTTGTTGCTCATATAATGCCATACGAAATATATGTATATGTATTTCCTAATGTCAATTTATCCAAAACTTTTATTACTTTAGATTTACACATATGGTTTAATTCATCACTAAGTTAATTATATAAAGAAAATCGTTCTTTCCTCGGAGTGTCAATAGGTGTAAATAGGCTGAACATTGTGATCAATGTGTATATAACATTTTATAGGGGGGCTGTTATGGCCTTGGCAAAAAAAATCATTATACTTAATTATCAGTATATTTAATACAGTTAATACTTTTAACTAAATTTATATTATTACAAGTAGATAGACCTAAAATAAAACAGTATAAATTCAAAATTATCTTTATAATAACACTTAAGTGTTTGCATATACCAATAAATTATTGAAAAAACTACTTTAACATGTATAGACTTACATTTTGTAGTTAATTGTTAATTAATAATAGTTTCATTTGTTTTTAGTTTAAACAAGTTATTTTTGATGTTGTGTTCACCGGGGACCAGTGATACCCCATAACAATACCACTACTAGATAAATCAACCGACCCAGTCTGAACATTCTTACCACTATTATTCTTAATAATACCAACAAAATAGCTATCTGAGTAAAACGTTGCTTACACAACTCCATTGATTAACAAATTTCTAATGCTTTTCAAGTTTTAATTCATCGTTTTTAATATATAGCCACTAAATCTAAAGACCAAATATTAAGATATCTTTAATAAAGCTGTCTAGAAGCTTTTCAAAGTCACATGACTTGCTCTTAGTTTTTAAATTCGCTATATTCACAAATGCTTTTAACTGCAAACGAGTAATATATTTATATTGTTCAACTAAACGGTGACATCTTTTTTTGAAATAAAGTAAACAGCTAATAGAACTATTACCACTTCTCACTGGACATAAGTAATGTCCTTTTCAAATAAATTGAATATTTTTAGTGACGGTTTACCAATAAAACGAAGAAGATTAACACTTCTCTATATTAGCTCACTAGGTACAATTTATTACCATTAACATTATCATTAACATTATACGTAAACAGCTATCGCTTAAAGTCTACCTTTTATATGGATTACAAATGCATATACTTTTTAATAATATATTTTGTTATTTATTTTAGGTTTTCGGATGTGATTTTTGTTGTAGAAAATGAAGAATTCCACGCCCATCGTGCAGTGTTAGCCTCACGCAGTGAATATTTCAGGTATAAATTCTTATCTTTTGGTATATAACTCCCTTAGTAATCATGATAAATTAATAAGCATAACATATCAAAAAACGATGTTTAAACTTTTTTACTTACTATTTTTTTATGGTTCCACCAATATTTAGAGATATTATATAGAGCATCGTAATTTTAAGTTGATAAAAGTGTAAATTTGTTGGGTGTTTTTCTAGATTTTGATGGGGAAGGGTTGACTTTTTTTATCGAAGGTTTACATGCTTATTATAAATTGATTATATTAACCGTTTATTGGTTGATTATGCAAACTAAGCGGTAGTAAATTTGAAGTTCGTTTGGGAATAAAATAACACTTTTTGTACCTCATGAATTAGTCTGCAATACACTGTTCCTAATTGGTTGTAGCACATATAATGCATTGTTTAATATTATTTATAATTTATAGGATTCTACTTTATGGAGGTCATATAGAATCCCGTAAAAAAAATGTGACAATAGAGGAAACAACGGCAACCTCATTTAAAGTACTCCTTGAGTATATTTATACTGGTCAAATAAATTTAACTATTCTTGAGGTAATTTAAAACCGACTTGAGGGATCCACACACGATCAGTTTAACTGCGCAGTTTATCTGTGCAAAAATAGTAGAGTCTCTCGCGCTGGTCAAAAACCTGCGTAAAAATGTTCCGGAACTGTGCAGTTATCTCAGTTTATCACTCAGACATGACGTCACACAAGATAAACTCCGCAGTTAAACTGATCGTGTTTCGGCCCCATAAGATGACCGGTAATAAAATGTACTTTATTAAGATTCTTAATATTCGATTATTTAATCGAAAAAACAAAATAAATTATTTAGAAAACGATAACTAAAATACACATTTTATTTTTTAGGGTAATGTTATTTTGGAAATATTGAGTCTCTCGAATTATTATGGTTTTTCAAACTTAACATTTCCATTGTCCCAGTATTTGCTACATAACATTAGTGTAGATAATGCAAGCTCTTTGTTTACTGTGGCACATTATTATCAACTCAAAGAACTCGAAGCCGGATCACTCTACTTTATCGACATGCACGCTTTAGATGTATTGCAATCTGAAGATTCTCTCTCTTTGTCGCCCGTAATGAAATTTTCGTAATAAGAAATCAACTTATGCTCATGTTAGGTAACCAGTTGTGATAAAAATTTGTATTTTTAGGAAACATTACAACTAATCCTCAATCGTGACACGACGTATGCTAACGAAATTGATATTTTCCGTGCGGCTTGTCGTTGGATCAAAAAGAACCAAGAGCGCCTAGATGCAGATGCTAAAACCAATATTTTATCTGCCGTCAGATATCAACTTATGAATGATAAAGAACTGTCTGAAGTTAAGCGATCAGAGATGGTTCGTTCGGATACAATAATTTTGGATGTCATTAAATCGGGAAAAGAGTCCCTCACAGGTGCACATAATTATCGAGGAAAATTAGGTATGCCTAATGTACCTATGTGTCAGCATACATGTTAGTATTAACTACTTTATTCTTTAGAACCAAATGTGAATTTTGCACCACGGTCTTCGAAACAAATTTCTCAAATTGACGGCGGAACCATGATGATGTTGAATCGTCCATCGATTATAAACTATATTGAAATTAATTTATCGGGAGAAGATTTTGAGTGTGTTTTTACTTATTAATATTTCTAATCAAAGATTAATAATAATTTTACCTCAATAATAATATGGACTAAAAATTATTTTTATGACAAATAAAACAACTAATTTTAATTAGTCGAGAATTCATGATGAGAACATCATATTTAAGTGGTCCTTCTTTATACACAAATCGACTATTTAAGTATGACTATTAATCACCATATAAATAGTTTATGTACAACAATTATAAAAAAGTTGCTTTTTTTTTTGACAAGATACCAAAGCTTTTACTCTTATTACATTGAAGTATCAATGGACCGACAACTTTGGTTGCGTGTAATTGATCATTCAACTTATGATTGTCGGTCATATCAACATTTGTGGATTCAGCAACAATTTGTTCGGTATATCCGAGTCGTTGGCACAAAGAATATTGGTAATAACTCTTTTAACTTTTTGAAAGTCATGTACAATAAGGACAAAATGCACTTGGTGGAAATCGAAAACGGGTTAGTGGGTAAGGACACCACGATAATAACTCATTCTTTGAATAATTTAAGAAAAAGATATTTGTCTAATTGACTGGTTTTAAACTATATTAGCTCCAAAATACAATGTTGCTTCAATTTTGAGTGCGACTGTAACCAAAGGAATATCGATTTCAAAGGGTCCTAACAGCCTATTGTATGACAAATATGAAAATTACGATTCGAATAACGGGTATACATATCATTCAGTGGGTTCGGGTTGTATACAGGTTCAACTCAACCAACCGTTTGTGCTTAGTTCAATGAGGTAATCGTTTACATGACATTTAACTTTTTCTCTGTTTTCTATTATTTAATAAATATATTATTTGTGCCTGAAATACAACTTTTTATTATTAAAAAAAAAAATAGTTTTAGCTCAACTTTGGCAATAAGATAATATTGCTATTGTGATTATTTATAGGATGCTGCTTTGGGACTGCGATAGGCGAACCTACGGTTACACTGTTGAAGTTTCGCTCGATAATTTGGTTTGGGATATGGTTGTAGATAAATCTAATGAGCCGGCACGATCGTGGCAATCGTTTCAATTTGATGCCAGGCCGATAGTGTACATTCGTATTACTGGCATCCACACTTCAAAAAATGACGGAGTAAAATAATTAATCTAATAGCGTTATATTAAACTGTTAAAAATCGTTTTTTTCTTTTAGATTTTTAGATGTGTACATTTGGAGGCACCCGCTCAAATATCGCTAGATTCCAAAGTTCCGCCAAAACAGCATCGGTCGTTATTCCGGTTTTTCGGCCGTAAATAGCGCCACCATTGACCCGACTTCTATATGGAACTAATAGGGTTTTTTTTACATAATATTATATGTTGCTGTAATTTTTTTTGTATTATAAATAAATATATTTATGTATCACATTCAGTTTAATGTTCACACATAACTATAGATTACATACATTTTTTTTTTAATATACCAATATTAGTAAATACTATACTACATTTAATTATTGTAGAAAAGCTTTTATGTGAAAAGACCGCATAGGAAAAATATTCGAGAAGTTAGACTTGATATAGAAGGTAATATCATAACAGTTCAAGAAAAAAATAAAGAGGTACTCATAACATGAAAACTTGAAAAATATTATTTTTTTAGGGTGTTTTTTTCGGTTTTGAAGACGAAGGGGGGTCTAAAGTTTTGACCTAACAAAGTACCTTAGATGAATGATATCTGGGCAAATTAATGGTATTGACATAACATATTGATCACTTATTAAGTAATCTATATGCTTGTGTATACAATTATATAATTTGTACTCTAAAGAAACAATATTTAACCCTTAACTTTGCTTTGTATCCGTGTATTTTCTAAATATAAATATATTTTATCTGCCTAAAGTTTAAGAACAATATAACATAAAGTAAATTATTTATGCATATTGAAGTAAACACATTTTTGACCTTACATTGGTCGTTGGCTGTTATCACTTTTCTAAATAATAAATTAATAAATATTCAAATGTATTAATAATAAATTCATACTTTGCTATTTGCAAATAAAAAGTTGCTATCAGAATAACTAAGTTGACAGGGGGGTAAAATCAAAAACAAAAATTGTGAAAAATTGAGGTCTCGTGATATAAATACACTAAGAAAATTTATTTAATGTCTTATTTAATCTTATAAGATAGTGAAATTGCAGATTATAGATACTTATGTACGTCCGTTGCTACAGGGGGGGGGGCAATTTAGATGATTACTTTTCACCAGTGACTGAAGTATGGGCAGAAATAAAAATATACGTTAATGAGTGCCTAATGACAGTTTTTGACACAGTAAACACGTCGTCACTTAGAAAAAGGGAAAGGTGCGAAAAAATTACAAATATACAACAAACTAAGTGACTACATTAAAAACCCATCATCGTATATTAATATGTTGTTTTAAATACTATGGTAAACAGAAAAATGGAAAGTTGAGAAAAATCGAAAGCGCACTATTACACAACAACCTAGTTCAGTTTTTATAAACTTCAATCAAGTTAAGAACTAAGTCAGCAGGATAAGGCAAAGCAGGAAATTTATCTAGCATCACCTAAATTGACATCTTTTAATTCTAATGTTATCCAGGAAATTTATTTTAATTCATTATAACATAATAACATAAAAGCCCATATAAATGCCCATTATTTTGGTATATAAAATTTACTCAAATTTTGTTTTGTTGTAAAGATTTTTGATGGTATTTTTCCTAATTGACTAAAAACTTGTTTGTACATGAATTCTTAAAAATATGCATTTAAAAATATAAAAAAAAAATTTTGCTTTCATTAAAATGTAAAAAAAAAACTTTAGTCGAAATTAAATTAAATTTTCCTAGGTTAATTATTTAAATATGTAATATTATAAGTAGCTATTATTTTTTTAACATTGGAACAGATTTCCTTTATTACTATGGATTTGAACAATTTAATACTACTTTCAGTTTATAATTTTGTATACTATTGTACATACACATTTAATAGTTTAATCTAATGTAGGTTTTATGTAGGTACAGTTTATTACGAATTCTGGCCATCTTAGTTTATAATTTAATTATATACTATTATTAACGTTTAGCTATACATAATTTTCAAGCTAAATTTGTAAGAACGGCCAACAAACTTCTTTTTTTTGGTAGGTCTCAATCTATAACAATAATAAAATATAATTTCTACTAAAACAAACAAAAGTCTAATAAAATACAAATTATATAATGTCACATATAATTTCGGCTTATTGGTAAAACAATTTGATCGTTTTAAAACATTTATCGATAATAAATAAAGTAATCAGTTAAATACATTTCAAAACGATTAGTATATGAATACATTTTTTTTGGAAAAGTAGAAATTCTTTTCTTTAAATTATCATAAATTGTTTTTAGTCTCATCAGTGGCAACTGATCCGAAATCCGAAGGCTGAACAGCATGTTTTCCGGGTCCAGTCGACCAGTCTATTTCGGGTTTGCCCATTTCTTTCAATTTTTCGTTGGTTTTCTTAAAAACTTCATTTTTGATAATACACGGACGACCACCATAAGCCGCTGAAGGATGACGTGATAATGTTACATCTACATGTTTGCATCTGTCAGAGTAAAAGTAGTTACTGTAAAAATTCACGATGGCGTCATCACCCCACAAATGAACTATCAATTTCTGTTCCTTGTTATCGTTCTTCTGGACATAGTCGCGTACAGCTATGACAATTGCCAACGTGATCTTTTTCCACCATTCCAAATGTGACCCTGAATCTTCTCCACACGTGAGCGCAGTGTTGAATAAAAGCACTCCCTGCCTTGCCCAGCTGTCTAGGGTCCAGCAGGACCGCGGAGAGTCCATCTCTTTGTCTGGAAATTGTTGTTTTATTGTGTCGAATATTCTCAGGGATAGGATTCTATTCCTAGGCATGTCGCGTAGCACTTTAACTCTATCTTCATCGCTAATTTCAGTGGAAAATGCTAATCCATCGGACTTAAACTCGTTGGGGTTTCCTTGGTATTTGGTGGGATACGGATCTTTGCCGATAATTACCACTTTTATTTCTTTGAGTGGAGTACGGTGCGTAAAGGACCATATCTTTTCCGGTGTGTCCGGACTAACGCCGGATGGTACTTTACCCATCAATTCTTGTAATTTATTGTTAATGTCCTCGAGAACATTAATGTCCCCGATTTCGTTTGCAATGAAAATTGGTTTTAGAACTTCCTCAAACCAAGTCTTTTCCACGTTGCCCTCGTTTCCAAAAAGGAACGGATATTTTCTTGCAAAATATACCATATCTTTGTCGTTATGAGCCATGATGACATCAATGAATGATATATCTGCAACAATAATACATTTAAATGATTAAACAATAGGACAACCAAGACTTTTGTAATGTCGTATGCAGTATTAACTCGATACGCACAACGTGATACCCTTTTAAAGATGTTATACTAGGATCCTTTAAAGTTGATCAAAGCCAATGCCCAGCCGTTTAAACCTTCCGGAACTATACTTCAGCCAGACGACTAACCCACGCTAAGTAGTAATCAACCAGACGCCTAATACGGGTTTAATCGTAATTAGGGACTATATTCAATTATACCTAGTGCAAGATTAATGCCTATTTCCGTAAGTATAGAACTTTAAAGAATAAAGACTATTTGCAATTTTGATCACTAAAAAGGTTGTCCTAGCACACGTCATTTAATAGGTAAACTTCAACTCTTAAAAATGAGACACTAAAAGGTAACGTTAATAAATAAATACGCAAGTCGAAAATATACTTTAGAAATAAAGTATAATGGCACAAAACAACAGTCGATACAATAAGTTCTCCACCTTGTTAATGCTAAGCGGAGAGACGTCTTTGGCTTGTTTTACATTCGCCTTTTATAGTCAAAAATAGTTAATATTGTTTTGCTTATTTTACATTAAGTTAATGTGGGTCATTTGAATGATTTGCCGAATTGGCATTATTGTTATACAGTACATAATATTTCGTTATTTGAACATATAATTTGTTTTGCTTAATCTATTTACTTAAATTCTACTCTATACTACAGTAATAACAACGAATGTCACGAATGTGTATATAACAATAATACTTTTCAATAATACAAGTATCGGATAATCGAGACGGAGTGTCAACAAGTGACAGTAAATTGGCTCAGATTAGTTAACAAATATATAGATTTTTAACATAATTTTATACTACAAAAAACAATTCAGCTCAAATATTCAGCAAAAAAAAAATATATATATATATATGTATAGCATTCACTTACCTTTAAACGTGTTTTGAAGTTCAATGATATCCTAAGACGACTACAGAATTAATAACCTCTTGAGACGATGACAATAATAACGCTAGCGATTTGGTTCTCTAAAAAATGTATGTAAGCATGTTAGGTATATAAGGCGTTAACTTTTTAGTTTAAAATCAAAGCGGTTATGGTCGATTTCAAAATTGCACTACTTGTAAGATGATTATAGTCAGATAAATATCAGATATTTAATAAAGGGAGAACAATCAACAAGAAGTAAACAGTGTAGTATTTAGGTGGTTTTAGAATAGCAGTAAAAAAAAAAAGAGAACATTTTTATGTACATTAATGAATGACGTCGTGCTGTGACGCTTATGCGATTAAAAACTTGAAAATAAGACTAAGAACAACTAGTAGAACACCCATTTGTAAAGGGAGTTGGTTATTTTATTGCCGTCAAAATTCTAGGTGTGTTTACTTATTGATCAGATCAAACTTTAATATTCGATATTATTGGTCATTTACAAAGGAGTGATGAAATGGAATGTGTTTTCTCTTGTATACATTTTTAAAAACTAGCACAGTCCAAACTATGCATACACTAGTACAGTAAAAGTTAGAAAAGTCAAGTCAAGGCAATTTTAAATTCTAGAAGTGATTTCATCGTACTATAAAAAAAATTTAATAAATAATAAATTTGTATAGTTTTTTAAATTTTTGTACCAAAAAAGTTCCTTTTGGGACGATTTAGGTTATAACTTGTAGGCTTGCTCAAGAAGAAATCGGTTCAGCGGTTTAGAAGATATCAGTCTTATATCGAGGACAATAGGTCTTGAAATTGGCAAATTTTAATTATTGTTATTAAAAAACTTCGAGTAAATTTCTAAACGATTTTTTATATACAGGGTCATTCATATTTTATGTTACAGCAGAAATGTAAACAAAATCCTCAAACTAGACAAAAATGTCCAATTAAAAGTATGTTTTTAAATTTGATATCTATAATATTAAAAAATTACCAACAATTTATTTTTGTAGTATTTCATAGAGCTCTAGACATTTTTGAAACTTAAATGGTAACGTATAATTTACTTAATTAACTTGTTATATTAAGTATAATTTATTATTTAATTCCTTTTTAATGTTCATTCTATTTTTTATCATAAAACAATAGGATATAACCAAAATGTAAAAAGCCTTTTTTATTGCAATAAACAAAAACAAATAATAAATAACTGAAATACATAAACGTTACAATTAAAATATCATAAAAAAAGTAAATCCTATTTCTACTTGGTAATTTTTACTTATTTTGAGTATTTCTTTGAAATTTCTGTTGTAACATACAATTTAGATGATCTTGTCATTAATACATAGTTTAAATGTCAAGTAATATATTATTCTAAGCATTAATATTATTATGATTTTTTAGGCATTATTATTATTATACTTGTTTTTATTTTTAATTGTAATTTGTATTATAAAAGTATAATTCATTCAACGATTTGTTTTATATAAATTTGACAGTATGAAATAATTATTGTAAAGTAATAAATCCTACAATGCATGAACTCATTTTCACCATAATGGTTTTGCTAATTTTTTTTCTTCAAATATTAAAAAGGTTAATAAAAACCTATAATATAGTTTTTTAAATTTTTATTTAATGGTTTGAGTGAGACTTAAGTAAATGTATCCACCGCGATACATCATGCATTAATAGTTGTCGAATAATAATTTTATATCCACCTTACAGTTCTAATATTTAGCAACATATAAAAATAAATTTGATTTTTTTAATATTTTATTTCCAAAGTATAACAAGTAACCGAACTTTATAAAAAAATTTAATAACATCAACTTAAATAGTATGTGAAACAGTTGCTTTTGACTTGACAATGCCTTTAATACATAGTGTACACTTATGAAAAACAGATAAAATGATTACTTACATTACTTACCGAAAAACTTTCTTGTGTTATATTAATTACATAATTGAATAATGAATTTGTTGAAAAAATTTTTTTTCTAATTGATAATTTGTTGCTAACATGAAAATGGCGGTACATTGATGTCAAGGGTATTAGATAAGACTTAGATCTAAAAACCGTGCACTGATGTAACATCAGTGGTGTTATTAACACTGGGATTATTTTTTAAAAAAATCCAACAGCTACTTAAACGGAGGTAAAGGAAAATAAAAACAAATATTCGTTGTCTTGTAGAGTGTAGAATAAAAGAACCGCCTAAAGTTTATTGTTGTATGTACAGCAGTTATTTTGAATTTTCTCGGTTGTATCCTGGGAGATAATTTATGCATTGTAGGGTTAAATAATAATATCAATGTTAAGTTAACGAACGCACTAAGAAATAACCGATTTTATAGTATACGGTTTGGGAATAATTATTATCGTCGACTTACGGGTGTGTACAGTTGGAAAAAAAATTGTGCATTATAAATCAATTAAATTGTGCATACTTATTTTTCGAGCCATCTGTTCCGTATCCAACTGTGTAAAGTCGATGCAATTTCCGTTAGTAAGGAGATGTTACTCCGAGCAAAGCAGTCTGTACAATAAGCGGTAGGTCAGTTTGTATAAGCTGAACTGGTGCAGACGGCTAACCGATTAGAGGAGGAAGGGTGTAATCGGCTAATCACAATGAATACAATATACATAGTGTAAATATTTAAATTAGATGGCGTGTGCGCTTTTTATCATAAGACATTTATTACCGTATCTTGTTTATAAACGTTATCGATACTCTTTTATCCACACACTTCATTCAAATCTTGTTTTTTTTTTTTTGCTGAAAACGCGACAAGTGAAAATAACCTAGAACATACACCCGTATGTTACATATTTTATACATTTCACAATATTATTCTAATAAAATATAACAACATTGTTTAATATTTTTAGTATGGAAAAAAAATGAATAATAGTCTCCAAAGTGATTTTTTAAAATTATTTAAACTACATACATTTTAATTGAAAGTATAGACAAGTAAAAATAAACGGCAAACTATACATGGTGATCCACTCAATAGCTCTTAGGGTTTAATTAGTAATTTATTTTTCTACTTTTCATAGTGTTTTTATACAAAGCTATCTACATTTCTCACAAAATTGCACCTATTAAATAGGTTAACCCTCCCAAACTAAATATTTTTATATAAACTACTGAAACTCAAATTGTAACGCACATATTTCTTTCAATTTTATAAATTAAAAATATTTTACTAAAAATGTTGACTGGTCGACATTTATTTTTTAAATTATTAGAGTTTAAAAGTTAGGACGGGAGGGGATATGCGGTTGAGTAAAGCGGCTTACGACTGAGATCTTAAGTAAGATATATTTTATCAATTTTTTAATTATTATTCATTATTATATTTGTAAGAGATTTTAAAATGTCTAGAAAAGAGAATTATTTTATAAAAAAAAAATCGTATTTTTTTGAAATGCTCAAAAAGAGTTAATTTTATTATTTCTACTTATAATATTTTCATAAACATAATTATAGGGATAAAAATCGTATTTAATACTATTACTGAATTCACTCCAATCCCCTCAGAAGTCGTTCAACCGTATTCACAGGACAACACGAGCGTATGGAAATGATTGATATGCATTGTACTAGTTCGTAATAACACTTATTTTATTTTGCCTGGATTATGCAAATTTAACTATGAGTCATAATACGCGGCTACAGCTGCCGTCACTACATAAAAAACGTCCATTGGCTTACAGCAGATATCTAAATGGCAGCAGTTATTCTTTAAATTGTTCACCTGTTTTAAGTTCATTGTTACTTTAACCACATTCAAGCTAAAATGTACGGAGTGATTATCTTAACGCGAGACACTCATTTTCTCTTAAAATAGTTGCAATTTTATCAATTTCCTCTTTGAAAACATTTTTATTTTTATTATTATAAAATATTAAGAAATTACTGTATATTTACCTTTTTAGTAATTTCCAAAGCTCTATATATTTTTGAAACTTAAACAGTAACGTATATATAATATTCAATAAACTTAATAAATAAATTCAATTTACATATTATAAATTAATTACGCAAAAACCGCTGGTCTATCGAAGCAGGCAGGTCAATAATCGCTAACCCATATAATAAACAAAAATGTTTTACGAGTGTTATTTGTGTCTGATTATCCGTGACCGTGTTATCGACCAGGGTCAATACTATTATTTAATGGAAACACGCTGAGCTTTTGTCATTAAAAACCTAACCATTAATTATAAATTCAAATCTTACAGTTAGAAGTAACGAACGAGTGATATTGAAAATTCAATATTCAAACGACAATTTCAAAATTAAATTTTTTACTATCCGGTTATCGGCTTAAAAATATTCGTTTGAAAAACTAAAGTTGAGTCTTATTACGTGTAAAAGACGGTGTTAGAAATATATTCATATACATGGTATATTTTTCGTTTAAAGCTATACTCAAATTTATTATTATGGATCAATTATTTTAAAGTATAGGTCCTATACTATAGGACACAAACGCACTAAAAAAAAAAACGGTCTTCTAGCATACGGTTTAGCAATAATTGTCGACTCTTGGATGATTACAGTTGAACAAATTAATTGTATTATAAAAAATTATTTGTACGTACCTTTTATTTGAGCAATTGTACCGACTCTGACTGTGTTGACGATGCACTCTCAGACGGCTGCTATTGTCTAAACGAGTACATAATATAGCGAACTAAAAAGTGGGAAGAGTTTAATCGGCAGACGGTAATGAATCATAGGGAAATTATTATTCAAACAAACTGAGATTTCACTCGATCGACTTCACAACTATATTATCTATAATGGCCCTATATTATCTATAATGTACAGTATGTTTTCCGTTGAATAAATAATTAGATGCGAGAAAATACCCATGAGTGCAATAAGTCATAATACCCATGGATAAATTTATTAGGTGCAAAAAACGGACATGTCCATTGTCCGCTAATTATTCAAAATTACTAACAATGGCACGTTTTTATTGATTTTTAGAAAATATTAAAAGTATTTATGATTTTCACTGTTTCATGGTAATCCAGTAAAATTTATTTTTATTACATGTCCCATTTCTTCAATTAGTCAATCAATATTTATTATACTTACTATAAATGATATTTTTTTCCTGTTTTTAAATTTCCGCGGTTTTTGCTACTAAAGTATTTGGATAAAAATTCAAATAATTATTAAAAATAAAACTTGTTTTAATATATATTATCTAAAATAATTAAAAACCTTTTATTTGTTATAAAAACTAATATTCCAGTAAATATTTGCATATAGGATTTCACGTCGTTGGGTTTTTCATTTTAAAAAAAAATTGTATATAGATTTGTAAAAAAATTAAAAATGTTTTATTCACACTTTTTTTATTGCATTAAATTTTGTTGTGTTGATTACAATTTCAAAATTGGGTACTTTAAAATAATATTTAACACACTTATCTTATAAATGACGTAACAACATTTTTGGTTTTTCAGAGTTCGAATGATATCAACGCAGGCACAAGTAGGTCACACAAATAGTATAGTAATATGCAAATTAAGTCATATGTAAATGATAATTTTATTTTAGAATAGTAAAAGACAAATTGTATTTGTTTTATTATTCTGATTGTATTCGATGGAATTTTTTAATTCTTTTTCTGGCAGACTTTTAATATCGAATACATTAATTCATTAATTTATTAATAAATACTAAAATTAGATTGTGTTTTTTTATTATTTATTGTTGAAGTTGGATTATATTCTACAATATCGTTCCACAACTATTTCAGCCTCTAAAGTTAAGAGTAAATGGTCAATAGTTAAGAAAGACTACAACGACCAACTATTTTAGCAGTGTTTGTTAAACATACCAAACATTGTATGGATTAACAGGTTAGATTTCAATTACGTAATGACAGACAAAAAAAGGCAATTCAATAGTTAAAAATAACTGCTTTTTGACATTAAGGGGTTTTTTTTTCAACAAAAAGATGATAACAATAAAAGTAATTGTATTTTAGGAATTGGGTTGTCAAGATGACCTAGGACATTTGCCGTCGCCGTACAAGTTTCGCAAGATGTTTGTCAGTACTTGTATTTCGAGGTCTTGTTGGCGGGTCCGTTTTTCGAGGATGGCAAAACACATTTGGTTGTGTTCTATCTGTGAGTGGAAAACATAAATAAATGATTCTTAAGTAAACCACAAATTCATATTAAAACATGGCTGATATAGTGACCACAGTCATTGTTATCCTCATGTTTAAAATATTGAACAAAAACTTAATATTTTGTTTTTTAACTCAATAACTCTGTTAAAAACATTATAACACATTAATGTACTCGAGATTTTTGTTTTTCAATTTATGAGTTAGACAACATGTGTATAACTCTTTGTCTCAGTATTTACAATTTATATTTTGGTAAAAATGCGAATGGCTTGAGTGGCGTTTAACTAGACCGAAATGTTATAGTGTTAAATAAATTATCATGGAAAATCTTCGGGAATTCCCGCAGAATAGTTTATTTTAAAAATATAATAATGGATGTTATTTTCAATTAAATATGAAATGAAATTGTTAAGGGGTTCTTCATTCTGGGTTTTTTTTCTTAGTCAGTTTTCCCTATATTAAATTTGAACCCTTGACTATGGTATAACGGTTTATGATGATAAACGTCTATAATATATATATTATGTACTTTCTTTTTTAAATAGGAATTTTTTTGTGCAGTCACTTATATTTAACTTATTCTTCATAACTATTAATCCTTGCTCAAGTCAGTTTGTTATCAGCCCTACTATAATACTTAGAGGAAATATTATACCGATTTAATAATACCGTCTTACCATTTGATCGATAGATTTTATTATGTACTCTGTGATCAATCGACAGCCAGCCGAGCCTGTACGGTCCGTGGCCTGTAACACAATATTTTAACATAAATATTAATTATAAATCTTCTATTTTCTATAATCAAAACCGCAATGAAGGGAGGGGAGAGAGAGAGGTGGCCAGAACATTCTTGGTTTTTCAATTAGCACCTTGCTATGGACATGCCTCGTATCTCGAGTGGTTCGAGTGAGAAATATTTAATAACATTGTAAAGTAGTGAAAACAAATTAAAATTTTAAAAATTGTTTGGCCATACCATTATGCAGCTAGCTTTTAAATAGGTCAAATTAAATTATATTTTAAGATGATTAAAAAAGAGTGCTTTATTATCAGTTGTTCCCTGTTATTAGTAAAAATATTATGAAAATATATTGGAACAATTTTGTTTTAATTTTTTACCAGCCTTCTAAATAAACACAATTGAAGAGCAGTTTATACAAAAATACGAAGTTATGGGAAAATTAGTTTTATTTTATTTTTAATTTCTTCACTCGTTACCAAATAATATTTAGTAGTAATTTTCCTCTGAAAACTTTATGGATCATTTTTATTTTTATAAAAATCTGCATCTGTAACAACTGAAATAAATGTCAGCTCCTGTTAAAAAAGTAGTATCTATATCAATAATAAACTTTTTCTTTTTTACTTCAAGTATAAAAACATATTCAAAACAATTTCATAACGGATAGAAATATTCTATAGGACTAACCTAAAATAAAAATATGTATACATAATTCTAAAAAAAGTGGGATATATTGTTTACTATATTAATTGTAAATATTTAACTGTTAAAAAAAGTGATTTGACTAGCAATTTAATACCAATAATATATTTTCCTTAAAATAACAGAAACTTAATTTCAGTATGACGCAGTTATTGAATACAGTTTATTTTGATTATATTTTCTGAAAATGTACTATTTTGACTTAAAATTAATAGAAACATCTTATTTGAACAACCATAAAATAAATATACCAAGTTGCATGTGTATTTTAATAAAATAACATGGTATATTTATATATTTTATAGGTTTTCATTACTTAAAAAAATGAAAGCTAAGGAATAATTTGTACATTATACAACTGCTTTCTACCGTAAAATATGAAATCAAAATTATTTCAAAGAAAAAAATATATTTCAAAATAAAGGCTTACCCGGTGGTTACCTACTGGTTATATGATTTTTATATTTAACGTTATAGAAAAACAACATAACAAAAATGTACAAATGTGTAATCATTGTTGTTTTTTTATATTTTTGACTATACAGTATACTATAGTAAAATACAAGTATTTAGTATGATGTGGTGTAATTAATAGGTTAGTATTATACTCACAAGACGGTAAACGGTAGTTAGAGGTTTTTCCATGGAGTTAAATTGTAAAAAAAAAAAAAATGTAAATCTTTTTTTTTGTATTTAAAGTAAATTTTTCAATTTTATTTTACCACGTTTGTTAATACAAATTGTAACTATTTTCTATTTTAGAGGTTCCTATTACATGTTTATTCGATTATACTTAAAACACGTGTAATGAACATACATGTGTTTACATATGTTTTTGTTTTTTTACATGTTTGAGTGTGAGTTAACGTTTTTAAAAAGTATACTTGTGTTCACTGTTTAACGTAATTTGAGTAATATTTGTACTTGTATCTTTATAAGATATTTATAATAATAATTATTATTTATAATACAAGTAATATTAAACAAATAACGTCAAAAGAAAACAGTATTTTTGAACTTAGGTGCACTAAAGTTTTAGATCAACATATTAGAGTGGTACGTACAAACCATATTTATTATTTTTTTTACACACTTTTTTTAAATTTAATTTAGTAGAAATACTCTCAAAAATAATGACTGCTTTTATATTTCTGAATAATTTACACATAATTTGATTGAAAGTTATTAAAGAAAGAAAAAACAATAAAATACGTGTTCGTAAACATGAAAACTGTTAAACGGCTAGTTAAATTATCCAAATGAGTATTGCATTCTTATTTTGAGTAAAAATTAAAACAGATACCTAATAATAGCTTTACAGACTTAACAGAAAGATTAATTTTAAAGACAAATTTATATTTTCAAAAGAAAACAGTTTTATAACATCATAATATTTAGTATTGCGGATTCGTAATGCTAAAAAATAAAAACTTATCTTATGGTTAAATAATTTGTCGAGCAAACTAAGTTTTTTTCGTTATTATTTATCTACTTGCATTCTTTTTTAAAAAAAAGACCACAACTACTAGGGTGGGTATACTTGCCTTTGTCGGTTTTTCCTTATGCAATTTCGGCGCTTCTCTATGTAATTTATTTTTAACGTCTTCGCCGTCGCCGTAGATAGGCTAAAAAACAATGGCAAATGTCTTATTTTTAAACGTTAAATATAGTCCACATTATTTACTTAAACATAAGGTGGTAGTATATTTTCAAAAGTTTTTAAAGTACTTCATTACAGATACGCCATCCTTTGAAAAGAGTTAATGTGAAATCATTTTTTTCGGCCTAGTAAGTTCGCCAAAAATTTAATTGTACTATTAAGCTTTCTGTCCAATTTAAACTTGACATTTTCTATGACTCGATCGAATAAAAACTACAAACAGACCAAGTATACACAATACCAGAAAAAATATGGATTATTTAAAAAATAATAATTTTGAAAATACATAAATTAAAACACTTTTTTAAGTAATTATTGTGTGTGTAAAAGTTCGGTTAAGACTATCAATTTGATGAAAAATGTATTTTTTTAATATTCATTATACTTAGTAAAAACTATAACACATTTCTTTAACCAGTATCAAGTACAAAATTTATAGCTATGTATTTTTAAATATCACTTATTCCTGATAATTAGCTAAACAAACACGTTTCGTACTCAACTGATAATAAACTATTCATATTTCTCACTATCTCCTAAGAAATACCCGAAATTAAAAAAACTGTTTAAGGTCAGCTAAAGGTGCGACGGTTGCCTTCATGGTTCTAACCAAAGGTTTACAACCCCCGTCCCCTTCTGATTTAGTTTACAATACCGAAAGTCAACCATTTTTTCCCGCCATCGATATTCCTATTAGCCGAAAAACATAAACCGCTAATCGTACTCACCTCGGTGACGTTCCATTTGATTTCGGGCACGTACTCCGCAGAGAAGACTATCATTTTAATATATCATCTTGTATTGTAAGAAAAAAAAAGAGCCAAGACGTTGGTCTGGTAGGTATATGAAATATATACAATAATATTTAACGTGACGGACGCGTTAACTATAGGTATATTATGACTATATTATTTTAGCACTATAATATGAAAACACTATTGTGGACGATATTTATTCTACTTGATTGTTTTATAGTTTTTATATATCTTTTCTCGACGGACCGTGGCGCCAATTCGCTGTGCACCCAACACCTTTGCCGCACACACTGGACGGTCTGTTTCCAGAGAGGACTACACACGGTACACATCATAGTAACACACATATATATAAATATAGATATTTGTATCTCATTCTAGTATAATATAGTATGTGTACATTATGCACACACACACACACACGTGCACAGTCCCTAATACAGTCACATAAAGACGTTCTATAATTAACTGAGCGATACCGGCTGTGTAAAGACACCCTATTCGGTTGTCTTAAATATATTCCGTTTCTCCAGCGACATCCTCTACATAGTAATAATATAACAGTATTAAATAGTATACACTGTTATACACAGGGTGATCCGTTTATCGCTCATTGCACTCAATATATCAATTTAAGACAAAAAAAGAATTGTTTAAAACAATATTTTGTAACAGACATGAGAAAACATTTCCGTTCCAACAGGGAGATTTTTAAATAGAAATTTCCAAAAATCGATTTTACATGGGCTAACCCAAATCTAAGTAGTGAAAGAACGATTTAGTATAAGCATTCTTTTTTTTTTTTTTTAAATTTTCAATATAGTATTTTTGTATTTAAATACTTGATAATTTGTGTATTTTAAAGTTTCGAGTATGCGTTTGCCATTCATTTTTATAAATACTTAAAGTTTAGGTTTTTTTAAAAAAAATGTTTAAATTAGAATTATCGATAATTTCAAAACGATTAAATACAAATAAAGCTTTCTCACGTTTTCTGTGAAAATAATGTAACTTTGCAACTTTTTGATTGTGATCCGGGCAAAACTATTTTGATAGAAAAAAATTGTAATTTTTTCTGTAGAAATTACCGTAATAGTCTGACAAAAAATAATCACAGTTTAAGATCAAATTCAAGAAGTAAGAATTTTAATTTAAATGACAAAGGCTACAATATGTCCCAAAAAGAAAAACTAAAAAGTTGTAGTGTACGTTTTCAAGGAAAATGAGTGTCTTACGTTAAATGGATCACCCTGTACACACAATTTTCTGGATAATATTACGGTAGTTCATTGGCCGGAAATATAAATACACACAAACTGTTATGCACCACATACGCCCACCTTAATGCCTCAGGTATATAGCCCGTGAAGATAATAATAATAAATATGTGGGTCTACTATACCTACAGAGTTGCCAGACGGAGAACGCCAAGCTAAATATAGTAGACAGAAAGACTGTATTTTAAGGGGGGCAAGTCTAAGCTCTACTTGAAAACAGTATTTTTTTAAAGGGGGGCACTAGTTATCAAAGACTAAGAGTTATGAGAGCATATTTTACAACAGATGAAATGTTGTGTACCCACCTGCACAGGTATACACATCGTACGGTTTCTTAAGGTTGTCGTTATGTGAAACTTCTAGAATATAAAAATAGTTTCTAAATAAATAGTTTGTTTATATTTAATTACATTTTTCATATTTATTAGGTGACAGTTTATAAATATTGTGTTTATATTGTTTTTATTATTTTAAATATACTATAAATATATATAATAAAATGAAATATTTCATGTACAACACATAGTTAATACAAACCTAATTATGCTTATTGCTTTCGAAAACATTATACAGTAACAGCATAGTTGTAATTATGCTAAATCGTTTAAATATTATAAGTAAGTAATTTAACTTTCTAAATTTATTCGACGACGCTTGTCATTAAGTATTGCAATTCTATTTGGTATGCTCTAACTTGATTTATGTACACTGGGTTATCAAGTGGAAATTAAACGTATCGAGCAGTCGAAATCTTAACTACATCCATAAAATGCAAAATCACTTTATATTCGAACGGCAAGCAGAAGTCAGTTAATTCTTTAAAATAGTCTCTGAAATTCTGAACGACTCCTATTATGAAATCGTAGGCAGACAGTTGGGCTTCGGTAACGTTGAAAATGAGCCAATGGATTTCATTTGCCTGAGTGCCGTTTAAATCGTTCAGCAGCTCATTGGCCTTGGCCGTCACTCTTGCTAAAATTTGTTGTATATCTCCGATGTCGATGACCTTTGCAAACTGCAATTCTGATATACTAAGCACGAGAAATTCATCTTTGAACGCCGTCAAACTCAACAGGTCTTGGATGAAGTTGTATACAACATCTTTGATGCGTTTCAACGTCGGCCGGTCGAGTATGGTTAATTGTTGTTCAAAAATATACAGTACAACCGAAAGGTAACAATAAAATCTGGCATCGAGAATTTTGACCAACAAGTGCTGGTGGTCGAGGCGATCGTACGGTTTGTTTATCCAAGTGCGTTTTTCCAAAAATTCTCTGGTAATAGCCACCTCGTCTTGGTGTCGTTGTTTCGCCTTACTCCAATCGACATCGACCAGTGTTATTTGTTTGAACAATAATTGGTCGTCGTCCCAAAATGGTTTTAGATATAAAAATTCTATCGACACTAAAACACGGCCATCTAAAACATCCGAAATGTTTCCGGATTCGCGTAGAACGTGAAACATGTTTTTGGATATATTCGGGTTTTGCCAAATCAAATCCGCTTCCGTTTTGGCCAGAGGAAGGTATTCTTTAGCTTTGCAATATTTGATGAATTCTGAAACGCCGGTTTGCAGTTGGCCGTCTTCGAACGGGTCTCCATCGATGAAAGGCTCGTTGTCGTTTTCGCAATGACTGATGGCGACGATTTTCAACAAATAAATCCAAAGCCATTTGCCCGTCACCAAATCTGACAACATTAATAACCTAAGTATAATTTTGGCTTCCTCTTCAAGACGTTTTACAGTCGTCTCGTCTTCAACGGAAAGCTCACCTCCCTTCATCTTCCGAACTAAGCTTTTCAAGTACAATACGTTTGATTTTGCAAATACACAAAAGCTACATTTGATGTCTTGAGCTTTTTTCTCTAATTTATCCCGGCTTTTCAATTTTGATTGGTAATCTTTATAAGTGCCACAAACCCTTGTTGACAGAAATCTCAAGTCTGTGGATGTAATGTCAATTGGATGTTTTTTAAATGTTTTCAATTTGTTTACGGTACGTCCATAGTGTTCATTAGATACTTGGGCGACAAATCGTATAGGAGTTATCTGAAATAAAGATATATCTTTTTAAAATTACAGAAAATTAAGTCTAAAAATATAATAATCCATGATTTATTTTGCTTCAAAATAACAGAAACCTAATTTCAGTATAGCGCAGCTGTTAAATATAGATAGTTTTAATAAATTGTCTGGAAATGTACTATTATGATTCCAAATTAACAGAAACATCTTATTTGTATAACTATAAATTAAATATACTAAGTAATATGTATATTTTAATAAAATAACATAGTATATATATATATATTATATTTATTGTAGGTTTTCATTATTTAAACAAATTTTAACCCAAGGAATAATTTGTACATTATACAACTGCTGTCTACCGCAAAATATAAGATCGAAATTATTTTACAGAATAATATAGTTTAAAATAAATGCTTACCTGGTTGCCTGCTGATTCGATTGTTTTTATAATTGATGTTATAGCAAAACAACATAATAAAAATGCACAAATGTTGGCAATCATTGTTCCTTTTTAATATTTTTAATTACACTTAAGTAAAATACAATTATTTCGTATGATATGGTGGTATATACTAACCTGTTGTACTCGTGAGACGGTAAATGGTAGCCTTAGGCTTTATACGTATTGAATTGTATCAATAGCATAAGTAAATAATTTTATTTTTCAGCTTTAGTCAACTACACCTGTTCATACAAATTCCATTTTTTTAGTTTTTTACCATAAATTTATCTTACTCTGTGTACACATTATTTTGTACAAATGTCTACTATTTCTACTTACTATACACAATTTTTAAGTTTCAAATTTTATGGTTGAAAAAAATGTACATATTTTTTGAACGGTGTGAATTTTTGTTATAATTAATTTGTGAATTTTTTTGTGAGTTTTTAACCTAATTAAGTACTTCTTATCTGTTTATCTATAGTGTTCAATACAATGATTTTGTGTATCTTGCCAGCAACTTGTACACGTTGTCATTGTGCATTGTGTACAATTTTGAAACGTTTTTGATTATACACAAAATTCTTATTTTCTGACGAGAAACGAGCAGAGAATTCATTTGTTTTACAGACAAGTATTTTTGTTTAATATGATTTTGTATCATAGGCTGGTTTTCAACCAAGAAAATTCTTGATATTTATCACGCTGTATATTTTCTTCCCTCTACATTCCCCTTTGGTGGCCCCTTATCATCTTCTTTTTAAAAAATGTAATCGGTACTTCATCGAGACATGAAAATGCTCTTTCGTGGTTGCAGACTCGACTGAAAAATGTTTTTTTCCTGAAGACCACATACATATAAAAACCAGCAGGAACACCAATGTCTACAACAGTTAGTAGGTATATTATCATTCGGCTCCGATCCACCCATAAGTCAGAGAAATGGATAGTTAAATATTACTTTTAAATAAAATATATAGAATTTATAGTATTATTAACATATTGAATATAAAACACAGCTTGACTAACTTTATGAATTAAAAAAAAAAAAAAAAGTTAAATTCTATTACCAAATGTGGTAAACAATTTGAATAATAGACCTCATATATTTAATTTTTTTTAATTAAACGCAAATATAAATTTAATTAATTTAAAAAAAAATTAAAAAGTGATTTACTGTGAAAATTATTGCTGGTCGTTAACAAGTTTTGAAAAAAATATTACCTTAAAGGGTGGGCGAGGTGCTAGTAATGTACAGGGAAATATTATTATTAACTGTGATGTCTTCTATATGGCACGTCTTACCTTATCCTTACATTAAAATGTTATTGAACATACTTAAAAAACTACATCTAATGACATTTATTGTTCACACGTGATACAAGTAGGCTAAAAATAGCTGCTATAATGATAATGGATAATATTTGAAATTAGTATTTTTTTTAAATTGTTAATAACAGTTTTAAAGGTTAAAAAATGTGTTTTATTGTATACAAATTTTAAAAGCTAATTTAACGCACCCGTAACACAAAATCTAATTTGTATAATACATTTCACAAATATATTTTTTATTAGTCTCTTTTAACAAAAAAAAAGGAAAATAAATATTTGAAAAACCAGATCGCGTCCAAAAATCTAATAAATATAATAGTGTTTATAGAATTTCCATAATAGCCAAAATGATTAATAGTAATAATAATAACATAGTTTCCAATACTTATGTAGTGTATGCAATTATATAATTGATTGAACAAAATATAGTTAAAGAGAATATTTTGAAATGTTAATATGCTCAGTAATAATAGTGAACGATCATAAAGTGGCAGAAGAATGAAATTAATTAAATTAAGATAGTCTTTCTCGCTTAACTACGCCTATAAAGTGCAAAAACACTTTATATTCGAACGGCAAGAAGTCTTTTAGTTTGTTTAAATAGTTTTCGAAATCCTTAATGAACACATAAATGCCCATTAATTATAATATATTTCAACGACATATTTATAAGTAAAATGAAGTGTTAAAAATTAGAATACGTGTTATTGGAACTGGTAGAATACCTATTTTAAAATAAATAGTTGAAGTTATACTTAACTTACGGTGCCATATTATAATACTACACTTTTATCAATACTAATATATTATTGTTTTACGTTAGAAACATTTTTCTTTGTCTGAACTCCAGTTAGCATCAATGGTTTGCAATGCTATTATACTGTAGCATGCTATGACATTTCCTTGGAGATCGATAAACTCTTGTGTAATATTCCAACATCCGAACGGCACCAATGGATGTAGCGTGTTCATCACATGGTTTATCGTTAATGACCGCACACCCTGTCGCAATGGACAAACAACACAATAAAATGCATTTTTTTTTAAGTTGGATTCTCAAACAAACCCTAACCGCGAAAAAAGGATCAAGTTCCATAACTGAAAAAAACAGCCTATCAAAGTAGTGATATCTATATTGTGGCCAAGTCTACAAATTTTTTAGTCCTTCCTTCACTCCTACTTTCATTAGCCACTCTGCTTTTTCGCTTAACACTTGGCCAGTTTTCTGAATGAGACAAACAACAAATTTAGTCACAATGTAGATATCACTACTTTGATGGGCCGACTTTTTAGGGAGGGGATCTGGAATTTTTTTTTCAGAATTCTCTCATTTCTATCACCCACGTAACTCCTATGTGAGTATAAATGATACTGATGTTTTACACTATAAGACCTACTTTTGTGGCAAATTTCACGTAACTACTTAGACGAGAAGTGCCTTATAATTTTAATGATCAGTTACAAATATGAAAACTTTGAATTTTTTTCTTATTTAGAAGGCTTAAAATAAAGGCTCAATTCTTTACATTGTCCTGAGGTCCTTTAGCTTAATCTATGTTTCAAAATTCAAAAACCCGTCATAAGAGGGAGAAGAGAAATGAGAGTTAGAAAAACCGAGTGAATTTGTTCATGTAAAGATACTCTGGCATTGCCGTGCGCTCAAATATTCTTCGTCCAAGTACTAGATATTGTTTTTATATTAAAGCGAACATATCCTATTTCAAGCTTACTTTTCGAATAGGACAACCATGGGGCAAAGTTGGTATAAACATTCGAATGGTCCCGGCAACTGTAATGTCATACTTTAATGCGAAACATAATGATACGCTTCCCGAAAGTGCTCGTTGAAATTTCCAAGTCTTGCCTATTTTATGATGTATTGTATTTTTAACCTTAAACCATATTAACAGTAGGTATTAATTTTTTTTTTCATATGCCGAGTTCACTGTCAAATACTGTCAAAGCACGTACGAATACACTGACGAGGCCAAATGGCAACGGTTAATAAAGAAGGAAGTCGATTTTATACTTTTATTTTGGAAGGAGTTTACAAAAAAACCTATAACTGAGGACAGAAGTATTACAAAAAATAAGTATTACGGTTTAGAGTTTTATTTGTATTGATTTTTATCTAAAAGCAGTTTATCTAATTTAGATAAACAAAATATTTTGGATAAGATAATTATTTCCTACAAAATTAATCAAAACTTATTATTAAACTTTCAAGTCTCACCGAGATTTCCATCACCTCTGTTAAGTCTTTGTATACGGTCCAATGATTCGATCCTGTAATATTGGCAGCGAACTCATTGTAGTTGGCATCAAATAACATCAAATCTTTGTTTCTCATGCATCTGTCCACTTTTATAAGCTGAACGACGTAAGTTGGCTTTAAAACAATGTAAAAGTCATTAATGCTTATTGATATCAGAAGTGTGTTTGAAAAATATTCTTACTAGAAGAAATACTTCATTGACACGAAGTACAACGGATGTTGAAAATATTAGCCACGCGATTTGCATTGTTTTAAAGCAAAATGTTTATTAACTGAATGTAAAACGTAGACAAATCTCAACTTATGGATAAAATATTCGTGTTAACTAAAACAGTAGTTAAAACGGTATACTTATATACTTCAATACTGTTACTGTATGACCAATTTCAGGTTATATTTATAACAAATATTTAAGTGCATAATAAGGCATTTAAATGTATTTTATACATTATAACTTTAATCGTGGAAATCCTTCACAATTTGCATTAAATTGTTTTGTATTCTAAAAATGTTAGAAATAAAAGAAAAAATAATAATGCCAAAACAGTTGGGGCATGAAGGTCACTGATTTTCGTATTTTAAAATTATATATAACTATGTACAAGAGATAAAATCACAAAAAAAATTGTTTTCATTAGAAACTCTGAAAATTGTATGCACCATACCAATGATAATCAATATTTTTTTCATTGTGTTAATTTGTTTCTATACAAACTATCATACATGTTAAAATTTCAATCCATGAAGTCACAAACATTTTCAGAAATTTTAACTTTGTTAAAGAGCTTGGAAGTTTGTAGATGTATGTTTGGCTGATGTATGTAATCTTGTTGCCTTGTTCGTATCTTGGAAACCGGTACAATTTATTTTAATTTCTTCACTGTTAAAAACAATGTACTTAAATATACCTGTATATTCTTGCTACCCTATAGCCTAGCCCTATATTATTAGGGATTGTTGTATATATGAATAACATAGTGTTTTTGAGTTAATGGCATTTTGCTTTTTCTGTAATCAAGTGGGAATCGGTGGTTTGTAACGCAATTAAACTGTAACGTTCGACGACGCCATTTGGGCTGAACATCGCATGTTTCTGATTCCAACATCCCAACGGCAACTTTAGATATAGTGCGTTTGTGCGATTTCTCATTATTAACCGCACACCCTGTAAATATTGTATATTGTTTCTCGAATATGCTTGTTGGATTCTCTAACTTTTGATTTTATGATATGTCGTAATCTTGAGCTTGAACAATATTTAAACATAGGTATTTTTTCTTGAATGTGTATGTATATCTAAGCACTTAACATTCCGAGGAACCCCTGCTTTGTTTTCTATTTATTAAATATATCATGAAGTCTCTCAAAAATAACTGCGAACATTAAAAGTCCCGGGAACAAAAGATCCCAAAGCTCGACTTAAAACACGGCAGCTGTGAGTGACTCTGTCGATTTTATCCCGAGGAATCGATCTATCACAGTTCTCAATACTTGAGAAATGCCATAACATCCTTGCAGCAATATTAGGAAGGCAACATTAGTCA